GGGGGAAGAGGCGTTGTCGTGCCCCCTTCACGACTGTGTTGGTGTGTTTGGACCCTGATAGGTCCTTAGTGATGTCGACACAGATGAACTTGAAGCTCTCGACCCACTCCACTACAGCCCTGTCGTTGTGAATGGGGGCGTGCTTGGCCCTCCGTTTCCTATAGTCCACGATCAACTTCTTTGTCTTGCTGACATTGAAGGAGAGGTTGTTGTCCTGGCACTACACTTTACAGTCTTTTTTTTAATGTCAGCTGTTATGACCTATTATGACATAGTTATGACTGTGTCATAATATGTTATGACTCTAGGTGTCAAGTAAAGCTTTATCCTTTTGGTATATTTGGGAAAAAAAGATTTTGTAGCATTATTTTAGTTTAAAATGTACATTTAGGGGAATTTTATAAGAGAATAGATTTGTTTTTGGAATTTTCTAAATACTTTATATATTATTAATTTCCATGTCGGCACTATGCCTGGAAATACCCTTGTCCGGAGCAAAGGAACCACATTTCAAACTCTCCCAAAAAGTGGCAATAATGGATATTTATCACGCGTGCTGTAGGTGGGTGTAGTGGTGGAATCAAACGCAGAACACCGAAGGATAGTCCAACAGACTTTAGTCAATCTCCAAACAGGAAAATATGACACGACTTGCCCGAAGGCAAAAATTACGCACGAAGGCGAAATAAACAAAAAGCGCACTAACAGGTGCGTAACACTCCAACGCAGTGGAGGAAAGCTCAACCGAGCGAAATAGCGAAAATAAGCCCAACACACGACAGACCAAAATCAATAACACACAACACTAGACAAACACAACGAGAAACTTATAGGACACTAATTACGCTAAACGAGAACAGGTGTCACAACAAACAGACAAAAGCAAACGAACATGAAACATACAACGGTGGCAGCTAGTATTCCGGAGACAACGAACGCCGAAGCCTGCCCGAACAAGGGAGAGAGGCAGCCTCGGCCGAAACCGTGACAATATTAACTGAAAAATTATCATAAAGTAGTTTCTTGCAATAGCCCTCTGTGACTTTAAAGAATATTTCTCACAAAACTTTGATTCCTAAAAGATGTGTCCAGAGATTTGGTCAACTCCGTTAGATTTGTCTAAAATTAATCAAGAATGAGCAGGGTCCGCTATAAGGACCCATTATTCATTATTCATGTCCCCCTTAAATACAGTATAGTGCAACAAGACAACTCATGGTAGATTTAAACAAACAATATTGGAATCATCATGGTCACAACCATAAACTCTCAACTCCATCTCCCTTATAGATAAAAATAGAATATGAATTTTGGTTAAAATATTGTACATTTGATTAAGTTTTTGAGTCATAAAGCAACTGAGGAAGCAAAATTAAACCAACTTTATTTAATTTTTATATTTTTTGGGATCATTTCTGAGAAGGAGGCAGTGAGACTTTAAAGAAAGTATCACTGCCTCCTCACAAATGATCCAAAAAATATAAAAATTAAATAAAGTTGGTTCAACACAGTGGCGGGTCATTTTGACCCTAGGACAACGGGAGGGTTAAGATATATATATATTTTTTTTTTTCAATACTCTGAAAACATATCCTAATCACTGTTCTGCAACATATGCTTAAACAATTGAACTATTTGCTGTGCTAGACCTAAGGGATAATGTTTACTCTATAAATGTTGTTTTATGTTCTAAATCTAGAAAAACATGCCAAAATGCTAACGAAATTAGCCCTGGAGGATTTACTGGTGCTCTAAAACTAAACCAAAATAAGTTTGGAGTTGTGTATTAGGCTACATAAATGAATAATCTAATGTTAGAATCAATCAATCAAGGCCTTTAAAAACTTGTTGAAATGGAATGCCTTTTATGATGTCTGACAGAGTTGACATAAATCCAGTTAGTTGCATCTCATAGAATCACAATGCATCACACTCACTCACATGACCTCTCAGGAAGAAATACTGACTGAAATGATGTCATTACTAAACATATTCAAACACAGTGTGACGTGTACTCACACTAAAATCTAAATGTGCACTTGAAGAGCTATTACATTTGCTGGCAATATACGTAACTGTCCTCACAACCAATTTCTGTTTTATGAAGGAAAAAAAACGAATTAGGAGGTTGTTCCTTTACATGGGGTGATACTTATATTCATTATAATGCCATTATTGCTTTTGTGCTGATTGTCACTATTTATCAAGCACACTTGGCGCTTATAATGATGTTTAGGCTACTGATGTTTTCATCATTTGACCGTGCATCTTGCTAACCATGCGTCTTGGTGGTTGGGGTATTTTTTGTATTTTGTTGTTATAAAAATAAGCTGTTACCGTGTTCCAACACATATGCTTTCTGTTTCATAGTTGTAGCAAACACACTCCACAAATTAAAACATTTGAACACTTCAATGTGTTTTTTTGTTGTTGTTTTCACATACAGTGGAGAGAACAAGTATTTGATACACTGCCGATTTTGCAGGTTTTCCTACTTACAAAGCATGTAGAGGTCTGTAATTTTTATCATAGGTACACTTCAACTGTGAGAGACGGAATCTCCAGAGAAAATCCAGAAAAAAAATCCAGAAAATCACATTGTATGATTTTTAAATAATTAATTTGCATTTTATTGCATGACATAAGTATTTGATACATCAGAAAAGCAGAACTTCATATTTGGTACAGAAACCATTGTTTGCAATTACAGAGATCATACGTTTCCTGTAGGTCTTGACCAGGTTTGCACACACTGCAGCAGGGATTTTGGCCCACTCCTCCATACAGACCTTCACCAGATCCTTCAGGTTTCGGGGCTGCCGCTGGGCAATACGGACTTTCAGCTCCCTCCAAAGATTTTCTATTGGGTTCAGGTCTGGAGACTGGCTAGGCCACTCCAGGACCTTAAGATGCTTCTTACGGAGCCACTCCTTAGTTGCCCTGGCTGTGTGTTTCGGGTCGTTGTCATGCTGGAAGACCCAGCCACGACCCATCTTCAATGCTCTTACTGAGGGAAGGAGGTTGTTGGCCAAGATCTCACGATACATGGTCCCATCCATCCTCCCCTCAATACGGTGCAGTCGTCCTGTCCCCTTTGCAGAAAAGCATCCCCAAAGAATTATGTTTCCACCTCCATGCTTCACGGTTGGGATGGTGTTCTTGGGGTTGTACTCATCCTTCTTCTTCCTCCAAATACGGCGAGTGGAGTTTAGACCAAAAAGCTCTATTTTTGTCTCATCAGACCACATGGCCTTCTCCCATTCCTCCTCTGGATCATCCAGATGGTCATTGGCAAACTTCAGACGGGCCTGGACATGCGCTGGCTTGAGCAGGGGGACCTTGCGTGCGCTGCAGGATTTTAATCCATGACGGCGTAGTGTGTTACTAATTGTTTTCTTTGAGACTGTGGTCCCAGCTCTCTTCAGGTCATTGACCAGGTCCTGCCGTGTAGTTCTGGGCTGATCCCTCACCTTCCTCATGATCATTGATGCCCCACGAGGTGAGATCTTGCATGGAGCCCCAGACCGAGGGTGATTGATTGTCATCTTGAACTTCTTCCATTTTCTAATAATTGCGCCAACAGTTGTTGCCTTCTCACCAGCTGCTTGCCTATTGTCCTGTAGCCCATCCCAGCCTTGTGCAGGTCTACAATTTTATCCCTGATGTCCTTACACAGCTCTCTTGTCTTGGCCATTGTGGAGAGGTTGGAGTCTGTTTGATTGAGTGTGTGGACAGGTGTCTTTTATACAGGTAACGAGTTCAAACAGGTGCAGTTAATACAGGTAATGAGTGGAGAACAGGAGGGCTACTTAAAGAAAAACTAACAGGTCTGTAAGAGCCGGGATTCTTACTGGTTGGTAGGTGATCAAATACTTATGTCATGCAATAAAATGCTAATTAATTACTTTAAAATCATACAATGTGATTTTCTGGATTTTTGTTTTAGATTCCGTCTCTCACAGTTGAAGTGTACTTATGATAAAAATTACAGACCTCTACATGCTTTGTAAGTAGGAAAACCTGCAAAATCGGCAGTGTGTCAAATACTTGTTCTCCCCACTGTATATCCTACAGTAACATAAACTAAAGAAATTGCTTTTGCTTTATTTGAAATATATATCTAATGTTACCTAAGACCTTCATAAACACAACCAAATGGTTATTTTTGTGATAGCATATATGACATTTATTAATTACACTGTTAGAATGTTGCAGTCAGAATGACTGCTCATTAGCTTGAAGGGGGGTCCCTCGAGGCCCAGCGGTTCTATTTATTTTTAAATCATGCAGCACATACACACATAGGAGGTCCCGTGAAGAAAACTTGCCCCCCTATGGCAATCGAATATCCGTCCAACTGATTCATTCTGGCGCCGGTCCTGTAATCCGGCTGCATTTTGAAATTTGAGATTGCCAAAATGACCAGAGTGGCAAGGAGTGGAATGTTAGCTAAAGAGATTGGTACCCAGACTATGCTGCTAAGTCACGTCCCCTTAGTCTCTCCCCATTTATTATCTCAAACATGCCCAGGGGTTTTGACTGGGAGTTTACAAGATGGTAAAAGATGGAATTTACTGGATATTTTGCAGACTGTGAGATGCTGACCTTTAAGCTGTACAGACATGTAATCAGAAAACATATTCCTTCCCTACTGGAAATGGAATAACAATAATTACACAATCACACATTTTATTGTAACACAAATTGAATTGTAACACATAAAAAATACATTCTACCCAGCTTTTCTTTCACAAACCCCTGAAAAGCTAGTTTGGAGTACATTGTTATTTCCTTAATATATTGGAAATAGGTTATCAAGTTAATTCACATGCTATAGAACATGTCAGAATTGTGTTATTATTGTGTGCAATTTCCAGTATGTTTCAGAATAAGAGATTATATCTCACTAGTTTACTCATTATAGTATAAAACAATATACTGTAAATGAAAATACATCCAAACGTGATAAAATGGAGTAAGAGATGCCCTTTTCTTTTCAGAATATTGTGGAGTTGAAGATGTACGATGAGGACAGTATCATGGGTGATGACCTGTGCTCCATTATAGTGTTTGACATCAGTAACCTCACACCTGGGAAGAAGGAGACCAAGACCTTCATCAGTGAACCGGTAGGACTATTACAGCACTAAGGATTAGAACTGGAATATGTCATGAATGAATCACATGTAGCCTATGCTTGGTCTCCCATGCCTCCTCTCTATTTCAGACCAAAGATGAATTGTGGGTTGAGTTTGAGTTGTTGGAGAGGTGAGTGACAACTTTGACATCCATGCCATTGTCAGACTGCTTTCAAAGCAGAAGGTGCTGAAATAGTCCAATTTTTGTTGTTGTAAAAATGACTTCCATGACTGACAACAGTTTGTGTTTCTTGTGTTCCCTGTTTGCAGCAAAGAGCATGCTGGTGACTCTCTCTCTAATGGTGTACTAGTGGTAAGGACATTATTCCATTTCTTATCATTCTAAGGCAAAGTCAACATCAAAAGGATGATCATAGAGGGATAATAATGAGGTCAATAATGAAACGACATGGTAATGTGGTGTGAGAACCAGACAATTATTTGTATTTAATACTGTATGTACAGTGCATTCGGAAAGTATTCAGACCATTCCCTTTTTCCACTTTGTTACGTTACAGCCTTATTCTAAAATTGATTACATAATTTTTTTCCCTCATCAATCTACACACAATACCCCATAATGACAAATGTTTGCTAATTTACTAAAAGTATTCAGATCCTTTGCTATGAGACTTGAAATTCAGCTCAGGTGCATCCTGTTTCCATTGATCATCCTTGAGATGTTTCTACAACTTGATTGGAGTCCACCTGTGGTAAATTCAATTGATTGGACATGATTTGGAAAGGCACACACCTTTCTATATAAGGTCTCACAGTTGACAGTGCATGTCAGAGTAAAAACCAAGCCATGAGGTCAAAGGAATGGTTTGTAGAGCTCCAAGACAGGATTGTGTGGGGGGAAAGATCTGGGGAAGGGTACAAAAAAAATGCATTGAAGGTCCCCAAGAACACAGTGGCCTCCATCATTCTTAAATGGAAGAAGTTTCGAACCACCAAGACTCTTCCTAGAGCTGGCCGCCCGGCCAAACTGAGCAATCTGGGGAGAAGGGCCTTGGTCAGGGAGGTGACCAAGAACCCGATGGTCACTCTGACAGAGCTCCAGAGTTCCTCTGTGGCGATGGGAGAACCTTCCAGAGGGACAACCATCTCTGCAGCACTCCACCAATCAGGCCTTTGTGGTAGAGTGGCCAGACGGAAGCCTCTCCTCAGTAAAAGGCACATGACAGCCTGCTTGGAGTTTGCAAAAAGGCCCCTAAAGGACTCTCAGACCATGAGAAACAAGATTCTTTGGTCTGATGAAACCAAGATTGAACTCTTTGGCCTGAATGCCAAGCATCACGTCTGGAGGAAACCTGGCACCATCCCTACGGTGAAGCATGGTGGTGGCAGTATCATGCTGTGGGGATGTTTTTCAGCGGCAGGGACTGGGAGACTAGTCAGGATCGAGGGAAAGATGAACGGAGCAAAGTACAGAGAGATCAATGATGCAAACCTGCTCCAGAGCGCTCAGAAAATCACATTGTAGGATTTTTAAAGAATTTATTTGCAAATTATGGTGGAAAATAAGTATTTGGTCAATAACAAAAGTTTCTCAATACTTTGTTATATACCCTTTGTTGGCAATGACACAGGTCAAACATTTTCTGTAAGTCTTCACAAGGTTTTCACACACTTGCTGGTATTTTGCTGGTATTTTGGCCCATTCCTCCATGCAGATCTCCTCTAGAGCAGTGATGTTTTGGGGCTGTCGCTGGGCAACACAGACTTTCAACTCCCTCCAAAGATTTTCTATGGGGTTGAGATCTGGAGACTGGCTAGGCCACTCCAGGACCTTGAAATGCTTCTTACGAAGCCACTCCTTCGTTGCCCGGGCGGTGTGTTTGGGATCATTGTCATGCTGAAAGACCCAGCCACGTTTCATCTTCAATGCCCTTGCTGATGGAAGGAGGTTTTCACTCAAAATCTCACGATACATGGCCCCATTCATTCTTTCCTTTACACGGATCAGTCGTCCTGGTCCCTTTGCAGAAAAACAGCCCCATGCTTCACAGTAGGTATGGTGTTCTTTGGTTGCAACTCAGCATTCTTTGTCCTCCAAACACGACGAGTTGAGTTTTTACCAACAAGTTCTATTTTGGTTTCATCTGACCATATGACATTCTCCCAATCCTCTTCTGGATCATCCAAATGCACTCTAGCAAACTTCAGACGGGCCTGGACATGTACTGGCTTAAGCAGGGGGACACGTCTGGCACTGCAGGATTTGAGTCCCTGGCGGCGTAGTGTGTTACTGATGGTAGGCTTTGTTACTTTGGTCCCAGCTCTCTGCAGGTCATTCACTAGGTCCCCCCGTGTGGTTCTGGGATTTTTGCTCACCGTTCTTGTGATCATTTTGACCCCACGGGGTGAGATCTTGCGTGGAGCCCCAGATCGAGGGAGATTATCAGTGGTCTTGTATGTCTTCCATTTCCTAATAATTGCTCCCACAGTTGATTTCTTCAAACCAAGCTGCTTACCTATTGCAGATTCAGTCTTCCCAGCCTGGTGCAGGTCTACAATTTTGTTTCTGGTGTCCTTTGACAGCTCTTTGGTCTTGGCCATAGTGGAGTTTGGAGTGTGACTGTTTGAGGTTGTGGACAGGTGTCTTTTATACTGATAACAAGTTCAAACAGGTGCCATTAATACAGGTAACGAGTGGAGGACAGAGGAGCCTCTTAAAGAAGAAGTTACAGGTCTGTGAGAGCCAGAAATCTTATTTTCCACCATAATTTGCAAATAAATTCATTAAAAATCCTACAATTTGATTTTCTGGATTTTTTTTTCTCAATTTGTCTGTCATAGTTGACGTGTACCTATGATGAAAATTACAGGCCTCTCTCATCTTTTTAAGTGGGAGAACTTGCACAATTGGTGGATGACTAAATACTTTTTCCCCCCACTGTATTTACCCACTTAATATGTATATACTGTATTCTAGTCATGGCTCATCCTATATAACTGCTGGTATACACACCTTTTCTATTCACATACTGTCCATACTGTCTATACACACCATTCAAATACATTTTTACATACACTCTGGTCCGGAAGCTAATTTCCTGCAATTCTATACATTTTGCCATAGGGTTTTATACTGTGTATTTAAATACTGTATTCTTGACATAGCTCATAGCTAACTACTGTAAATTGCATTTTAGTTACACTGTTTATACACACTGCATATGTATTTATATACTAGATTATTTACATAGCTCACTCTAATAATTCTTAGTATATCTTGTGTAAATTCATCCGGTGTACATACGTATAGATTGCATTTGGATTACTGTTACAGTGCTATTTGGGTTATTAATTGGATTCATTCAGAAATGTCATGATTTCTTTAAAAGATATATATATATATATACATATATATATTTATGTGCTGTTTGACATTATAAACTTTGTGGTTCGAGCCCTGAATGCTGATTGGTTGACAGCCGTGGTATATCAGACCGTATACCACGGTTATGACAAAACATTTCTCTTTACTGCTCTAATTACGTTGGTAACCAGTTTATAATAGCAATAAGGCACCTCGGGGGTTTGTGGTATATGGCCAATATACCATGGCTAAGGGCTGTATCCAGGCACTCCCCCGAAGAACAGCCCTTAGCCGTGGTATATTGGCCATATACCACATCCCCTCGGGTCTTATTGCTTAAGTATACTGCATCGTCAGGAGCTAGTAACATAAACATTTTGTTGCACCCGCTATAACATCTGCTAAACTGTGTACGCGACCAATAAACTTTGATTTGATTTGTTTTCTAAATACCCCCCAATGTATGAATTGTATATTTCTCTGTGTCTGTCTTTCTGTGTGTCTGTGTCTGTGTCGGCGTGAGCAGAATCAGATCGGCCCACAGTATATTCATAAAGCACTCAACTGAGCAACCAATCTATGTTGTATTGTTCTAGTGGAGCAGAATGTGGTGCTGAAACTGTGTGGGGCCTTTCAAGAAGAACATAAGATTATTGCTCCTGAGGAAACATCCAACCTGACCAAAACCTACTACATCATCAGAGACCTGGAGACAGAGCTTGGCGTGACCGTACGGTTAACTGATCCTTTCTTGACCAATATCTTCCCTATCGTCATCCAAGTTCCATATGATTTTTCAAAATTCCACTATCATATTTTTTGTATCCCCAGGATAAATTGGGTGAGGTAGAAGATGCAACTGTCACTGGTTTATCTGCTGTTCCACTCCAGCACCTTCCAGACAGTAATGACTTCAAAGTATCTTTACCTGTGGGAGAGGTACAGTAGACCACATTCTAGTCTTTGCCGCATTCTAGTGTTTGCATAAAGTGCCAAGGAAAGATTATTGATGAAGGGTGTTTGTAAAGCCTATATGACTTACATGGACACTCCCCCTTCACAGGACATGGTGGATCTACATGTGAGAGCAGAGGACTGGTAAAGTGTTCCTTTTTATGAAACAATCCGTCAGTATTTCATTCAGAAGTATACAAACACATGGCATGAGTTGTTATTAATGTGTTAGATACTGTGTGTGTGTGTGTGTGTGTGGGGGGGGGGGGGTTATGGCCTCTGTGAATCCACAGCCCAGACGATGAATTTGAGGTGCGTCTTGATTTTGACGTCCGTCCAGAGGAAAAATAATTCCTGAAGAAGAGAAAGGTGCTAGTGGGTCAGGCCTTACAAAAGGAGTTGGGCCTCAGCTCGCCCCCTGACCCTAAAAAGGTACATGGTGATGATTGTTTTTTGCACAAATTTACACACTCTGCAGTAATTGCTGCTTATCATCCATAATTTCAACACTAATGAAGACTGAATATTGATGCTGACCAAATATGTTTGTCTTTTTCCAGTCTCATGAAAGACATTGTTGTGGGATTGTTTTTTTTTTCTTCTACTGTGGTGTCATCTACTGTAATTATGAAACAAGTCTCAAACAGGTTGACTGACAGATGGTGTTTGTCTTTTTTCCCCCAGGTGCCTGTTATAGCTGTGGTTGGCTCAGGGGGAGGGACCAGAGCAATGACTGGCCTGTATGGCAGTCTGAAGGGGCTGCGGAGACTGGGACTACTGGATGCTGTGAGCTACATCACTGGTGTGTCAGGCTCCACATGGTGTGCATGGAATTTATCTCCATTGCAATTAAATATGAAGTATCCTATAAGCAAAGTGAATGAAGGAGTGAATGAACAAACTAACAAACTAACACTTGCCAGTTTATACTACTGAGACCCCTACTTATGTGACATCATAACACATTCCTGTTCAACAGGGCCTTAGCTGCGCTGTATCAGGAAGCAGATTGGTCACAGCGTGATATGGATGAGTCCATCTCAGCTATGGAGGGGGAGATCAGCAAGAGTTTCCTTAGTGCCTTCACCCCTGAGAAGCTGCAGTACTATAGACACCAGATGGCAGAAAAAGAGAAGGAGGGACATATGGTGTCAGTCATAGACATGTGGGGTCTGGTCATCAAGCACTGCCTGCATGGGAAGGTACAGCCGCCTACTGTACACTCATACTTTACAATACACACTGTACTAATCACACTCCAATAGGAAGGAGTTCCGCGGAAATGGTTTTGTTTCCTGTAATTATAGTGATTTTTATTCCATTGAAACTATGGAATGTTTTTCCCACAGACACAATTAGTGTCTATTATGTCTTTCACACTGAGTTATGATGCTCTACATAATTAATGTTTTGCAAAGTTGGTTGGAGCAGCCTATGTGACAGATTGATTTCTCCTATGTGTGATTTGTAGAAGAACACCAGTACCCTGTCTGACCAGCAGAAGGCAGTATCAGCGGGACAGAACCCTTTACCCATCTGCACTGCTGTCAACCTGAAGGATGGAGTGAAAGACACCACAAGAGAACTTGGTAAAGCTGTTCTAGTAACTTATGTTTGATAATATGTATTTTAATGCAACCCAAACAGTGGTCCACATGTTGAAACAAGGAATATTGTAACAGAATTTTGATGGTGTTAACTTGTATGTTATTTACATATCTTTATGTATCCAGGTAATACACTAAAAACTTTTGTGTAGCACGTGTCAACGCAAAGATAAAATGCTATACAACTGATTGAAAATAGCAGTTGGAGTATAAATGACATATAAATTGAATAATAAAATAACAATTATTCCTGTTCCTATCATTTTAGAGTGGTGTGAGTTCACACGATATGAGGTGGGCATTCCAAAGTATGGGGCCTATGTCCATGCAAAGGACTTTGGGAGTGAATTCTACCTCAGTCACCTAGTCAAAAAACATCCAGAGATACGTACCTCCTATCTGCTTGGTGAGAGACCACTTATTTGTGTGTGTGTGTGCGTGCGTGCATGAGTTTGAGAGAGAGAGAGAGAGAGAGAGAGAGAGAGAGAGAGAGAGAGAGAGAGAGAGAGAGAGAGAGAGAGGGTGGGTGGTTACATAGTATCCCTGCACTAATGTGCAACATGTATCTATTAACTTTTTACAGTGGTTGTGGGCACCTCTGCCTCTGTGTTGACAGGTCTTTGGAGCAGTGACTTCTCTCTTAACCTGACCCAGCTTTGGGGATTTGCACTAACACTGCCTCAGCGCTGACCAGCTTGTTTAACAGCCGGCCAGTCATCACTAAGATCTACAACTTCATGCGTGGGTTCTTTCTGCACTGGAACTACAATGACAACAGCAACTTTACAGCCTGGAAAGGTACATATGCATGAACCTCCCCTAACTAGTACTGTTAAAACAAATTCAACATGGATTTACTCAAATACTGTTGTACAATGTGTGTGTGGCACCAACAGTCTATTTATGCATAGGCACCCCAATGGTGGAACAAGCTCCCTCACGACGCCAGGACAGCGGAGTCACTCTTTCTCCCCTCTCTCTCCAGATAAAATCTTGCGACTTGTGATGGCAGGCCGCCCAACAACCTGCCCGCTTGACCTTATCCCCTCCTCTCTTCTCCAGACCATCTCCGGTGACCTTCTCCCTTACCTCACCTCGCTGATCAACTCATCCTTGACCGCTGGCTATGTCCCTTCCGTCTTCAAGAGAGCGAGAGTTGCACCCCTTCTCAAAAAACCAACACTCGATCCCTCTGATGTCAACAACTACAGACCAGTATCCCTTCTTTCTTTTCTCTCCAAAACTATTGAGCGTGCCGTCTTTAGCCAACTCTCTTGCTATCTCTCTCAGAATTACCTTCTTGATCCAAACCAGTCAGGTTTCAAGACTGGTCATTCAACTGAGACTGCTCTTCTCTGTGTCACGGAGGCTCTCCGCACTGCTAAAGCTAACTCTCTCTCCTCTGCTCTTGTCCTTCTAGACCTGTCTGCTGCCTTTGATACTGTGAACCATCAGATCCTCCTCTCCACCCTCTCCGAGCTGGGCATCTCCGGCGCGGCTCACTCTTGGATTGCGTCCTACCTGACCGGTCGCTCCTACCAAGTGGCGTGGCGAGAAGCTGTCTCCGCACCACGTGCTCTCACCACTGGTGTCCCCCAGGGCTCAGTTCTAGGCCCTCTCCTATTCTCGCTATACACCAAGTCACTTGGCTCTGTCATATCCTCACATGGCCTCTCCTATCATTGCTACGCTGACGACACACAACTAATCTTCTCCTTTCCCCCTTCTGATAACCAGGTGGCGAATCGCATCTCTGCATGTCTGGCAGACATATCAGTATGGATGACGGATCACCACCTCAAGCTGAACCTTGGCAAGACGGAGTTGCTCTTCCTCCCGGGGAAGGACTGCCTGTTCCATGATCTCGCCATCACGGTTGACAACTCCGTTGTGTCCTCCTCCCAGAGTGCGAAGAGCCTTGGCGTGACCCTGGACAACACCCTGTTGTTCTCCGCTAACATCAAGGCGGTGACCCGATCCTGTAGGTTCATGCTCTACAACATTCGGAGAGTACGACCCTGCCTTACACAGGAAGCGGCACAGGTCCTAATCCAGGCACTTGTCATCTCCCGTCTGGATTACTGCAACTCGCTGTTGGCTGGGCTCCCTGCCTGTGCCATTCAAACCCCTACAACTCATCCAGAATGCCGCAGCCCGTCTGGTGTTCAACCTTCCCAAGTTCTCTCACGTCACCCCGCTCCTCCGCACACTCCACTGGCTTCCAGTTGAAGCTCGCATCTGCTACAAGACCATGGTGCTTGCCTACAGAGCTGTGAGGGGAACGGCACCTCCGTACCTTCAGGCTCTGATCAGTCCCTACACCCAAACGAGGGCATTGCGTTCATCCACCTCTGGCCTGCTGGCTCCCCTACCTCTGCGGAAGCATAGTTCCCGCTCAGCCCAGTCAAAACTGTTCGCTGCTCTGGCACCCCAATGGTGGAACAAGCTCCCTCACGACGCCAGGACAGCGGAGTCACTCACCACCTTCCGGAGACATTTGAAACCCCACCTCTTTAAGGAATACCTTGGATAGGATAAAGTAATCCTTCTACCCCCCCTTACCCCAACCCCCCCCCCCCCAAAAAAAAAGAAACAACAAAAAAATAGAATTGTAAAGTGGTTATCCCACTGGCTATAAGGTGAATGTACCTATTTGTAAGTCGCTCTGGATAAGAGCGTCTGCTAAATGACATAAATGTAAATGTAAATTTAGATTATGTTTGCTGAAGTTTTGCTCCCAATGTTGCTGCAGATATGCATCCAGATGCCTTCCCCAACAGACTGACTCCAGCTGACTCCACATTCCACCTGGCAGACTCTGGGTTCTCCATCAACACAGGCTGTCCCCCTGTCTTGAGACCAGAGAGGGGGGTTGATGTCATCATGTCCCTCAACTATTCGTGGTGCGAGGACCAATTCAAAGTAAATGGGTTGAATTTATGAATAATACAAGAGTGAATTTGTGTTGAAAGATGAACAGAGCAGTTTACTTGATAATTTGCTAGATCCACATTTCGCACAGAGGTCTGCACACACACACTAGGCCAGAAGGTGCACATGACTTGCGTAACGGCCATACACAGTGTTTGAATTGTCTGACTGACATCTCTGTAATCTATCTACCAGGTCCTAAAGAGGACTGAGGTTTACTGCAAAGACCACAGCATCCCCTTCCCCTGCATTGACTTCAGCAGCCTGGAGGGACAGCCCCTGAAAGAGTTATACGTCTTTGAGGATGAGAAGAACCCCAAGGCTCCCATAGCGCTTCACTTCCCTTTCGTCAACATCTCATTCAAAGAGTTCAAGGCCCCTGGTAAGCACTATCAAGATCATGGTAATTTTAAAAGAAGCAGAGTGTAGGGGTAGTCAATGAGCTACTGTAGCTAGCTAATGGTTCAAGCTGTCAATAAGTCATTGGCTCTGTGCCTGTCAATCAAATCAAAATTCTGTCAATAGAAAATTTTCATGTGTGTTTTAGAGATCAGGGCCAAAGATCATTGCCCTAAAACTTTGGATTGGATTGCACTTTGTTGATATGATTGATTTTATGGTTGTTTGATGTTTAAGGCTGATGGTATTGTTATGTTCTCATTCTGAAGGTGTGGCACGTGAGGGTGAGGAGGAGATGAAGACAGGGGATGTTGACGTTAACACAAGCAGCTCCCCTTACTTAACCACACACCTGACCTACGCAGCAAAGGACTTCCGGGCACTGACAGACCTTACCTCGTACAACATCCAGAACAACAAGGAGAAGATCCTCCAGGCTCTCAGGAAGGTCCTCGAGAGGAAGGTGCCTGTGGAGGAATCGGACCACCATGAGCAGCACACATGCCATTGACGGGGCCAGAGAATATGGATAATCTTCTTGTACATATGTTATGAAATGATGAGGGCAAAACAGAATAAACATGATTGACACTTTGTAATCCAGATGCATGCCTGGATAGTGACTATAGTCAATACATTGTGCAACTGTTCTTTAACGTATGTATGTATATTATTTTTTGGGAAAGTGTCCGAGTCATGCCACCAATATAATGAGATAAGAGGGAAAGGCCCCACCTAGAGAAACGACACGTAGACCTTGAAAGTAAACAGTACGTGGCACCTGGACATTGAAAGCTAATGGTGGCGTGGCACTGAAAGATGTTAATCTTTTACATAAAGAGGAGTAACTATGTACGCTGTATAAGCATGACTATGCATGTTGTATAAGCATGAAACTGTATAAAAGGAGAGCTCCGAGTCAAGGCAGGCAGTTGTTCCATGGACCAGCTCGGCTTTGTTGTGTTGTAATAAAGTATATTCTGAATTCACAGGCTCCGGTTTCTGAGAGATATTATTGAGTTAAATATTTCTACCACAAGAACAACATGCATTAAGATCAGATCAGACTCATTACATTGAGAGGAGCAATTCTAACTGCAATTTCTGTCACAATGTATGTTTGGTTACACTGTCCATTTGAGACTGTAGGGGAGAGAGGAAGACAGTGTGAAGACAGCGTCAGCGGCTTGCTGATTTGACATTGTGAATTTATTTTCATGAATTGTATCTTCAAGTTTGGTTTCATTTTATAGATTATAAAGAGTAGAGTATTTTGATATGAGTTGTTACCTTGTATGTTTTACGATTTATGTATTTTCAGAGAGACCGGGTCTCATTCGTTTGCTTGCTTGACCGGTTATCAGATGAGCGCATTCCTGGTGTTCGTTCATAATATTGAAATTAAGTTGTGTGATCTGATTAGAATAGTCTTTGATGTTTCATTGGGTTTTGTTTTCACCAGCAAAGTTATGCTAATTAATGAGGGGGTCTTTAGCCCTGTTTCTGATGGTTTGAAATGAGAATGCATTTTGTTGTAATTTTGGGTTCTTGTTTCCAAGCTCCTAGTCAACGTTCCGTAGGCTATAGTTCCGTAGGCTATAGTTCCGTAGGCTATAGACGCTGTGTGTTGTTTTTCTAGACTAAGTCTTTCTTACATTGTACCATTATGAACCATACGGTATGTTTCATATTATTAATTGTATCTTGGTGAGTTCATTTTAGCACATGTGTGTTTAGACACACGTAGCATGTTATTACTTAGAGGTTATTCTGGAGACACCATCACCTTAGGTGTAACCACGTTGTCTTATTTCATGATAGTCATTTACTTTGCTATATTCAGTACCATATCTTCCATGTGTATGGTTATTGTTTGAGTGTTAATTAATTTGTGCCTAATAAATCTATTAGTTGGTTTGAGTAAATTCATTCCTCATTTATAGTTTAACTCTTTGAGTGGCTATTTTCAGAAGTCAGTAACGGTAACTCTTAAAGCTTACAGCTAATTGCACACACAGATGAATGCTTTGAGATACTCAGTGTACACCTCTGTTCTAGATATATGCAATTATAAAGCTAGACTTTGATTGCTAGTATCAGCTCATCGCTCTAGCCCCTTGCACAGGAGGTTGGTGGCACCTTCATTGGGGAGAACAGGCTTGTGGTAATGGCTGGAGGGGAATTGGTAGAATGGGTTTGATGCCATTCCATTTTCTCAATTCCAGCCATTATTATGAGCCGTCCTCCCCTCAGCAGCCTCCTGTGGCCCCTTGGTAGTTGAAAACGACACTGAGTGTACAAAACATTAGGAACATCTGCTCTTTCCATGACAGACTGACCAGGTAAAAGCTAGGATCCCTTATTGATGTCACCTATTAAATACACTTCAATCAGTGTAGATGAAGGGGAGGAGACAGGTTAAAGAATGATTTCTAAGCCTTGTGACAATTGAGACATTGTGTATGTGTGTCATTCAGAGGGTGAATAGGCAAGATAAAATATTTAAGTGCCTTTGAACGGGGTATGGTAGTAGGTTCCAGGCGCACCGGTTTCAGTGTGTCAAGAACTGCAACGCTGCTGGGTTTTACACGCTCAACAGTTTCCCGTGTGTCTCAAGAATGGTCCACCACCCAGAGGACATCCAGCCAACTTGACACTTTGAAGCACTGGGAAGCAATGGAGTGAACATGGGCCAGCATCCCTGTTTAATGCTTTCGTCACCTTGTGGAGTCCATGCCCCGACGAACTGAGGCTGTTCTGAGTGCAAAAGGGGGTGCAACTCAATATTAGGAAGGTGTTCCTAATGTTTTGTATACTCAGTGTATATCTTAATTCAAGTTACATTTGGGGGGACTGATTGTGTTACTGACTGACTAGCTCCCAGCCTAAATCCGTTAGTCTCGACTGAGCCTCTTGCTAAAATAGTGTCTATGAACGTTAACATTAAATTGAGTCAGATTATATGTAGATTATTGAATATAATTTAGTCCTACAGGGCTTTATATTGCGAGCACCTTTATTAGACATTGGAAGAAACAATCAGATTTCACTTTAAAACACTGTCAAATAAATTGAAAAAAAAAACCGAATAGCATACTACCTCCAAGTCACACCAGAGCATCACTCACAGGAAAAATACATGTTTGCAAAGTGTCTCTTTAACACAGACCTCTACGAAATGATAGAAAGCTTGGTATCTGTTCTAGAGTAAATTATACTTCTAAAGTTCATGCATTTAGTGGTAAGGACCAAGAGCAGGCTCAATGGTAAACTCTTGAGACTCATAATATGGGAATTTGATTGTGTTAATGGCACTGGTTCCGGCATACAGCATTGTATCTGCACTATTGACATCCTCAAGAAATCGAACTCAACATAATGCAACTATAGACTTGATGGAAAATGTATATGAACTTACTTTCAGCACTTAAGTTTTTTAAATGCTTTTGCTATTGACCTAACATTAGAAGTTCCTTCCTTCAAAGTGGTGCAGGTGGTAAAGTGCAGTTCTCTCTGGTTCTCTGGCCTCTGCCTGTGACATGTCTGACGCTTCAGTCAAGGTCCAGACGATGGAAAAATAAATAACCTAAATAAACTGATTGATACAAATGTATACCTAATTTTGAACCATTCCTGACATGTTCTACCCATGTATGATAACAATGAGTCCCGAGCATAAACACGAACAAAGAGTTTAAAATACTGTGGGCCTACCATGCTAGAAGCTGAGGCTATAGCAATCCTCCAACATCATGAAGCATGTCACCTTAATTCAAACAACAGCTGAGTTACTTCACCAATTAAAGATTTCTCTGAGAGTATGTCTACTCCTGACAAGAATGTGAGCAACCCGAATGCCGCCTGACTTGGTAGTTAAGTCACCTATCAGAGCCTTGTGATTCTGAGACTCACTGAATTCTATTTATACAAGCTTTAATTTCAGCTAAATATTTACAAAGTTAACATTTACCAGACATCAAGTGTTAAGACAACATGTTGTTATATGGTAAGTGCACTGACTTGTAGCTTTCTTCACGTTCGCTACTCATATGGTGTGCTGTGTTCAGAGAGTATGTACAAAACATACAGTGCAGGGTTTACATTGAACAGACATTGAGAATGGTTGAGGGACAAGCTATCGGTGTTAAGAATATGAAAAGCTACGAAAATACACAATATAAAGTAATTCAATGTTGAGTATAAATGAAACACTTATAGTGATTGAGATAAATTATTCACCAGATTGATCAATTGTGATTGTAGATGTAGTGTGACACAGTGTCACAGTACTGTCTGTATGTGAGCCTATCAATTGATCATTATTCATTTGATGTTCAAATGAGGATTGCTCAAATGGATGTGATGACCATACAGATAGTGCACAATCAGATCCCTCCTCATCTGAATTATTTATATATCTACAGTACATGTATGCCCACTGAAGGACATTTTGCAGAAGGGGTGCCACAGGGTCTAATCTCTAATGGTTTGGTACTCACTTGGAGAATAGCCTATATGGTCTGGCTCAGAGATCTTACAACTGTCTGCTTTAAAGCCAGTTGGGGTAAAGAATAAGAGAAAAACTAGCCTGAGAATAAACCCCTTGTTGGCTCGTACCCTATGCGCTGGCTGGCGCATAGGGCAGCAACAAAGGTCCATAGAACAAGGATGGGCAACTTTGATGGGGGTGGGGGCCACAAAAAAAACGAATTCATAATTAGGGGCCGCAGTGGCTCGTGGGTCTGCGTGCCCACATCCATACCCTCCCCACCTTGTGAGCAAAATATTTTAGCGGCCCTCCTCGTGACAGCAAAGAGAAAACCTTTATGGTTTAAAGTTCATTTCCTGCAATTCTGCACAATGTGCAATGGGGCGTAAAGAAGATTTTACAATTGTATAACTCATTTCATGCAATTCTACTCATTCTGCCATGGGGCGGAGAGAAAAGATTGCAATTTTACAGCTAATTTCCAGCAATTCTACACATTTTACAATGGGGTGGAGGCAAATATTTGCAGTTTTTAATATGATAACTAATGATCAATGGCCCCCACCCCAGTCGGTAATTCGACCATGCTTACCACAAGTTTAGATAGTTGGCTGCTAGACTAACTTACCAATCAAATTTTTTTTGCTGACATGGGCTAATTGAGTGACTGTTGATGCACAACCACATAAAAAAAATTGCACCTTGTGTATTATATTATTCTAACTCTCAACAGTAAGTTGAGACCCCAACTGAGTTTCTAAAAAAACATTTTTGTTTAAATTGGTCCGCGGGGCAGTTGCCCATCCCTGCCATTGAAGGTTCTTTATTGCCACTCTCACAAAATTGGACAACCTGGTAGGTTAGTTTCATTACTTGTGCTTCGGTGAACCACGCTCACATGATGCAAAACTTTGCATGAGACCCTAAAACATGCTTCCTGAGTTGACTCCCTTAACAAATGCCACTGTCGCACTTACACCCATCCAGTTCTTTCGGATCTTGGCAACAGTCTCAAAATACTTTGAATGGACCGTCTGACATTGTGCTCTTTTAACGTGATTCATTGGATTAAACAGGAAATAAATTGAAAGCAAAATTCAAACATTTAAAGGCTCTTTCTACAAGAAGTATCCCAACTGAGTAAAACAGTAGACCTATTTACAGTAGGCAATTTTTTAGCAATGGTCATGATTCACCCAATGATTTCCATTCTGATTTATGGCAGCAGAAGTTAGTTGTAATAGTTGTAGGATGTTTTTAAGGTAGTTTTGTCCCTGTGCCTTGTAGGGAATTGTCTGTTTTACTGCCTGGTATTTGAGAAGCCTGGAGTTGTTCCTCTGAAACAACACTGGCATATGGGCTAGCTAAATATAGATGGCATCAACACCTGTTGCTCAATGTACAAAAAGGCAAGGGGGCAAGATCAAATTGTGTTAACTGATTAAAATGGCAATTGCATTATCCAGTTTAGGAGGCTTTAATTTGAAATCAAGTACCAAATGAATAAATGTCCTCTTTTGTGGAGTTTCAACCTGAGATGAAGATGCATTAAGATGCATCTTAATTGTTGGATGCCTTCCAAGAGACAGCATCTTTCTGCCGTTTCTGTGGATGGTTAGACTACAAATGGAGGGATAATTTGTTGGAGTCAATAGCACTTGTCTCCTGGGGGACTTCGAGTCTGTCACGCCCTGACTCTGAGGAC